CAAAGGTCTTTAGCATGTTAGGCAAGAGCTGTACCACTGAGCTACATCCCTAGCTCTTAGCTTTCTTATGTATTTGTTTTTACATTGCTGTGGTCATAATATATACATTCCCCTGTGTACTACTTTCAAAATTTTATATCGTGTCTGAGAAACACTTTTTCATATTACTACATACCTTCCAAGAAGACAAAAACTATGAGGTCTGATGGAAATATGGTAAAGGTATGAGTTAAAAAATTATTACAATAAAAGATATATTGCCATTGATGTCTCTCAAAATACTGTTTCTTTGAACACAATTATTCTATTTGTTGTTTGTTTTTATTATTTTGAGTCAGTGTCTCATTATGTAGTGCAGGGTAGCCTTGAATTCACTTAGCCCAGGCTGGCCTCAAACTCAAAGCGGTCCTCCCACCTCAGCATCCTGAGTGCTGGCATTACCCTCAGGTGTGCACCACCATGCCCAATTGTTCCTTTCTTTCTTTCTTTCTTTCTTTCTTTCTTTCTTTCTTTCTTTCTTTCTTTCTTTCTTTCTTTCTTTCTTTGTTCTTTGACACAGAGTCTTGCTATGTAGCTTATGCTGGCCTTAAACTCACTATGTAGGGCCGGGGATATAGCTTAGTGGCTCAGGGCTTGCCTGGCAAATGGGAGGCTCTGCATTCCATTCCCAGTACAAAACAAAACAAAACACTATGCAACCAGGCTGGCCTAGAACTCATGGTGATGTTCCTGGCGCGGCCACCCAAGTGCTGGGCTCATAGGCGTGTGCCACCATGCCCAGTGTTTTTGTCACTTTCTGAAGTGATTCCTGAATGCTTTTTTGTGAGTGTCTTTACGAAGTGTGTTCCCAAATATAGTGAATGCTACTGTTGAATGCCATCCCACAGAAATGTAAGCCTATAAAAACAGTACAGCGTGTTTCCATTTATCTTATTTACCAAATGTGGCGCTGTTGACTTCTGGCTCTTCCCCAAAGTCAAAATGACCTTGAAAGATAAAGGTTTTACAGCTATTGAAGACTGTGAGGGAGCCACAGATTTAGTTTAGAATGGCCTTGAAATCACTATATATCCCAGGCTGCCTCTGACTATCACCAATCTTCCTGCCTTAGCTTGGGAAGAGCTGGAATGTGTATGCTACCACATCCAGTTTATATTTATTCTTCTGGTTATTAATGAAGTGCCACGCATCAGTGAGTTCAGTTTTTTAATGGGCTTTGTACTCTTTGCAAAGGCCTATAAAAACTAATTACATTAGGTACAGGTACAAATTCTCTTTGATGAATGTGATTGTTATGTATATCTAAAATGTACCAATAAAATCTTATTAAAAAAAAACCCTGGGTGTGATCCACCAAATGAATAAAATGATGGGCTTGGCATTAGATTCACAAAATAAGGTATCTGCCTGTATTTTCTTTTTAAGAGAAAAACCAGGATTTAAGGTGTTTCTTCAGAAAGAACTTTGAATGTATACTAGATGATTTTGCCAAAAGAAACTGATTTCATTTACAGAAAATTAAAAGAATAGTTCCTAATTCCTCACCAACTCATATTTTCCAAGTTGCACAACCCTAAAAGCTACCATTGAGAAGGAACAGTGATCTCTACAACTGTATATGTGATGGTTCTGCCTCTACTAAAATTTTTTTCATAATAGTGTTATTATTTTTTTAAAAAAATAATGAAAAACACCTAAAGCTGTGCATTTTATATATGCTTTCATTTTAGAGTCTTGGCCTTTTCCTTATCTTCTATCACTTCTGTCACTGTTAAGATTGATGGAGTTAATTTAGGGCAGGCTATTCATTTGTCTGGTCCTATTTTCATACTGAAGTGGAACCCCAGAAACTATAGTAACGGGACACATAACATAGAAGTAATTGTCCAGGTAAGTTAATTTTTAATATACTATGTAGATGATTAGATTGTTGCCATAATAAACTGTGATTTGAAATTTTTTTTGTCTT